TGTGCGCATTTATAAGCCATTTGAGTCACAACAGAGAAGAAAAATATCTTAGGACAAAACACAGAGAAAAGACGCATCAAAGGGAAAACATTTCCATACTTGTGTGTTCTACTGATCCATTATTCCTACGTGCATTTATAGTGTTTTGTTGCCCGAAAGCGCCTCCCATGTGTGTCTGCTGTCAGCTAAAATCCACTGATATTCACTACATCTTAGTGTCCGTGCGTAACATCAGTAATCCTCCAACTCACCTATCTGCACTGAGCTGGGGAAAGCCCCCGCCGCCAGCCCCCAAAGGGCGGAATACACTCCGAGAAAGTGCCAAGAAAAAATATTAATCCTCATATTTCTTTCCTTCAGTGCCTTCAGAAACTGTTGAGAGACATTGAGAGAGGGGGAGATGCGAGAGAGAGAATAAGGCGTGAGTAAAGGGGAAAAAGATGATGAGAGAGGTTTTTCCCCCCGTTTTGTCCAGTGATATTCCTACTCCATGGTGGATTCGTTCGTTTCTTCCCCTGCAGTGTCCGCCCAGGAGAGAGATGCGTGTCCGGTGCACATGTAAAGACGGGGCGAGAGAAAGAGTGGGGAAACTCGGTAATGATTGGCGAGCTGGGAGAAGAGTCTGCATGGGTGAACTGGACATGCGCACCCGTCTCTCCCTCTCTCTCTCTCTCCCTCTCTCTCCCTGTCAGTGAGATGGTGCGTCTCTCCCTTTACCCGCTCTTCTTCACCAGCTACCATTCCCTGTCAGCCGGCTTCCAAAAAGAAAAAAGGGGGGGATCCGCGTGAGTGTGTGTGCGTGGTTACTTCGTGGTCGTGGTCCTTACGCTTGACAGTATTAACAGCGGTCGTATTTTTTTTTTTTACCTTTTACTACTCCCCCGGATCATTTATGTTTAGCCTAAGTGGAAGCGTGAAAATAAACAAAGTGTTTCAAGTGAAAAGGGGAACATGAAACAAGGAGGCTGCTGATTTGTTGCGTTTTGATTACTGTGAGACGTGAGAATGAGAAACCGAGAGTATTTCTACCTAATTGCATTACAAGCCCAATTCCGTGTCCCACCAAGGCAACAGCATGTAATCCAGCTGCAGGTAAACCTCAGGCCGCCGGCTGTGAGATGCTGGTGGCGCCCTGGGGACCCGCTAAAATTATCATTATTTTAACGGCAGGGCCATCACGAACATCTGGCCAGAGAAAGGGTAAAAAAAACAAAAAAACGTCAAGAAAGAAATAGCGATAATTCGGCGACAAAGACCCGAGCCAAAAAAATGAGGAGTTTTGTGTAGCCCAAACACAAAATACAACTAAAACCATAATCACAGCCTGCACCACGTTTTATCTAGCTTGTTGATGGCAGGTCGGTAAAACTGCCAGGCGGTCTGGAGTCACGAAGTTACATGTTGGAGAGCACAGTTTCTTTTTTCCAGATGGCAAAACGAGAGAGAAGCTTTACGGCTTGCTCTGATGAAAGATGCGGTCTGTCCATCTCTGAGGGGGTTTCCCGGTCCACTGCAGAACATGCGAGTCAATCAAACTGGAAAATGCGATGCTACACTTATATAGTCAGGGTGTTCATTTTCTCTAAGAGAGATTTGGCCCCAGCTCTCCATTAGTAATAGAAGAGTATGCGCTCAGAGACGTCTCCCATTTTTACTTAAAACTTATAATGCAGCCAACTAAACTGTGTCTTGTGCAGCGAAAACAAAAAAGTAAACGATCTTGCATTTAGAGAAACAATTTTAACTAGTAACACACAAATACGTGTACTGCTGCACTGTATTGCTCGTGTTTATACATCACGGACTTGTGACATCAACAAAAGCTAATTGGAGTCAGCAAAACTTGGAGTTCAGTAAATGAAACAAAACTGATGGTGTGGATTCGAACATTGACTTAAATATATTTAAGACATCTGTTGATATGAAGTATGTCTCACAAAAAACAATTGCAGAAAATATACAGTTATAGTTGGAAAGGTTTCCAGCCAAGAGTGTAGATAGACTGCATTTAGACAAACTATCTACATGATAGAATGGCCACCTGTCCTGGGTGTACCCGGCCTCTCGCCCAATCTCAGCTGGGATAGGCTCCAGCTACCCCCGCGACCCTGTTCAGGAATAAGCTGTATAGATAACGGATGGATCTATGCTTTGCTGCCTCTGGGCCTGGGTGCCTTGCCATCAATGAAGGGAAGATAGATTCCTAAGTGTTGATGATATGTGTTAATAAAGATTTTAAATTCACTACAACACAGCACCCAGTTCCCCCATCAGGCTGACAGGCTCTGTCCATGGTGCTGAAATCAAGCTGTGCTACAGTCCAGCAGTAGTGTGATGGAGAGAACTAGGAGTGCACAGAGTCGGCAGGTAAAAAACAAATATCTTTTTATGTAGACCTGCAGACTGCGACTTAACTGGCTTTCATGTCATATTAATGTGTTGTATACCATGAAGTACGCATTTTCTGAAATTTCATTCTTGAAGCTCAAATTTAGAAATTTGTAAATGGCTTTAAGAGCATTTTTTAGGTACATAATAATCCTTATAATAAGAGGATGTACTGGTAATGCTTCATATAGACTGAAACATAGATACACTACATACAGACAGTTACACCAAACCTTAACTGCTGTGTGACTGTAATGGTAAGTTGGACAGATTCTTCCTACCACAGAAATATCATTGTCTATATATTGACATTGGGAGAGTCAGGGCTTAGTTACTATTTAATGCCTCTTGGGAAAAAAATGCAGACTACTGTGATTCTTTTTTCTAAATGTGCTGCAAAGAGCGATAACAGGCCAACTCGGCAGCAGCTTCTGCACAACCTAACTGATGCTTTCAGTCTTGCAACACAGGCATGTTGAAATGTCCTCAGACCTGAATAATCCACCATGGTTCCCAGTAAAAACATCAGTACAGTATATAAATCAGGGAGAGTATCTTTTGGTAACTTAATACAAAACTTTCAGCCATAACAGATCCAATACTTTCTACTGGCTTTATACAACAGTAGGTATAGCAGAGAAAGAAAACTCATCTAAAGTAATTTTCCTAAACATTTCTTGGTAGACTAGAACTAAGCCAAACAATAACTTGTTTGTTTTATTGGGGGGTATTTTTCTGTGGTATATTTAGAACAGAATGTCTCATGAATGGAATTATTTATTCCCTTCTCTTATTTATTTATAAATGCAAACCAAATGTAGAATTCCTTACTGCTGTCTCTTAGCAGTGAGTTTTTTTCCATGCTTGTACAGTTTAACCTAAGGTTTTACTGTGAGTGGGCTGCTGTGCATACATTATGTAAATGGTGCTTAGGGTTGTGGCACAGTTACACATTTTTGTTTTCCTAAGAAATGACATAATCCTAATTAATGACTTCGACCTGTATATATTTTTTATATCTAGTTCTGGCACTCACATGCAAACAGACACACATGAACAAAGCACCTTTGTGAGGCCTCCCTGTGGGAATATTTTCCTTTTACAGAGGGGCAACTTGTTAGGCGTTTAAAGGCCTCATTAAAGGGATTTATTTTGATGAACTACACTTGACACCATTAATGGTCTTTGACATCAATGGCTCTTGGAAAACATATCAATTATAAGGATCTGGCATTTGCCTCCATCGGTAATCCAGATAGGTATTCATAAAAAAAAATTCTAGATGATTTTTATATAGAACAGGGCACCCAAATGTAAGCAACAGGACAAAGCTCAAAGTGTTGCCTAACACTCTCCTATGCAAGCAAACAGTATATCAACAATACTACCCAAGTTTTATTGAGTGAATATTTGATTTTTTCTTCATATACACTCACCATTAACTTTATTGGGTACACCTCTATAATTGTATGCAATTCAATGCAGCACTTCCACCTTAACATCTGTGTTTATGAAGCTCATCGTGTTTAAGTTTTTGGTTAAACTGTCATAAATATATAAATTCAGTTATATGTTTATTACTGAGATGCTACTGTACTGGACTATGTGACATTCAGAGGTGTTCCTAATATTCTGACCCTTTTATCTGTGTAGCTGGGGAGGACAAAAATATAGAAATGCCGCACTTGAAGTCTATTTGACTTGGACTTGTGTTTTGAATCCTTTTTTGTCCTTGAGGGGATTTTTTTTCAAAGCCTGGGATTGTAAGGAATTAACTGAAAGATTCAAGAAATCAATCAAATGACCAAACAAGGTTTGTTTTACACACAAACACAACCTCGGCCAGTACTGTTGATGCACCTGAATAAAAATAAACATTTTATCAGTCCCCTGCTGAAACCCATCGTTTGCCTGATTGTGTAAAGTAGACATTTTCTGTTCTCTCTAAAATGCCAAAAGTAGATCATGACCTTTGAACACATTCTTAATGCATTGTGTTGTAAACTGTTAAGAATACACTTGTTTTATTCAACCCAGCAGATATTTTAGTAAAGACAAATCTTTTGTAGGATTCAGTGAGGATATCAATGTTAGGAGCCGTTCGCACCAGTCAGTGTGCGAACGAGGAAAGAGGCGGACCCAGGTAGCTGGCTTCGGTGCATACAGTGATTTATTATATACAGTGAACAAGGGAATGACAAAAACACAGAGGGAAATGATACGTAGTCCTGTAGATGAGTAGTAACCGGGTGTTTGACCAACCGCAGGAGGTGAGGAGATGGAGAGCTGGGCCGAGCTGCGTAGGTGGGGTCACTCCTGGGCTGGTCGACGGTGATGGTGGTTACTGAAGGTAGGGACAGAGAGATGAAGGCAATAGTGGAAAAAGATAGGCGACTGTGCATTGACCTGCCTGGGAGGATAGAGTGGAACCATGGTCCAGAGGAACAGTCCTTCGGGGAAAACACAAAACAGTAGCTGGCTAGGGGATAAATACATACAAAAACAATGACAACGCACAGAGTAAGGTTGGCCTAGTGACTAGAAAGAACTGGCAAGTGACTGAGGAGTGAAACCGGGTAATATAGTGAGTGACCTAATCAAGTGCAGCTGGTGATAAGGGAGTGAGGAACAGGTGAACGTGATAAGAGTAATGGGGCAAGAGACAGTAGGAAAGGTGAGGGAGGCCAGAGCGGCCGAGCAAACCTGACAATCAATTTAATGTACAGTGCAGACAAAAACAAATAATGCTCTTGCTAATACAGTACAGTCTTATTATACTCAACACAAAGAAAGGCTTCTTAATTTGATCAATTTTTCATACAGTGGCAAAACTATTATTAAGCAAACTTTCACAGTATTGGTGGAAAAAGTAGGTGAACCCTTGGATTTAATAACTCGTCAAACTTCCTTTGGCAGCAATAACCTCAAACAAGCTCTTCTTGTATAGTAGCTACAAATCAGACGTGCACAACATTCAGGAGGAATTTAGGCCCTGCTTCAGCTCAGACATGTTCCTAGGATGCCTGGTGTGAGTGGCTCTCTTAAAGTCATTCCAAAGCAGCTCTATTGGGTTAAAGGTCTGGGCTCTGACTGGACCGCTCCAAAAGGTGGATTTTCTGTGTTCTGCACTACTTTGATGTTTAGGGTCATTGTCCTGCTGCATCATCCAGCTTCTACTGAGCTTCGGCTGGCTGACGGCCATCCTGACATTATCCTGTAAGAAACCTTAATAAACTTGGAAAGTCATTTTC